ACCTAACAACCCAATGTATGTCCTTCACTCAAAAAAATTGATTTTGTCATTTGGGAGTTGTAGTTGCTGGGATTTATAGTTCACCTACAATCAAGGAGCATTCTGAACCCCACCAACGACAGAATTGGGCCAAACCTCCCACACAGAACTCCCATGTGGGCTACAGCAACGCGTGGCAGGGGATGGCTTGTCTGCCTGCCTGCCTGCCTGCCTGCCTGCCTGCCTGCCTGCCTGCCTGCCTGCCTGCCTGCCTGCCTATCTATCTATCTATCTATCTATCTATCTATCTATCTATATATAAAAATGCTCTGTGCATAATGAGTACCTTAAAAACAAAAGAACCAATTAATGAAATCACACCAAATTTGGCAACAAAACGTCTCACAACAAAAAGAGTGTCCATCACTCAAAAAAATTTATGATTTTGTCATTTGGGAGTTGTAGTTGCTGGGATTTAGAGTTCACCTACAATCAAAGAGCATTCTGAACTCCACCAATGATGGAATTGAACCAAACTTGGCACACAGAACTCCCATGACCAATAGAAGGGTTTGGTGGGCATTGACCTTGAGTTTGGAGTTGTAGTTCACCTACATCCAGAGAGCACTGTGGACTCAAACAATAATGGATCTGGACCAAACTTGGCACAAGCACTCAATATGCCCAAATATGAACACAGAGGGAGTTTCGGGGAAATAGACCTTGACATTTGGGAGTTGTAGTCACTGGGATTCACAGTTCACCTACAATCAAAGAGCATTCTGCCCCCCCGACAGAATCGGGGGCAAACTTCCCACACTGAACCCCCATGACAACAGAAAATACTTAAGGCCATCCAGTCCAACTCCCTTCATTAGGGCAAGAAAATAATCAAAGTCCTCCTGACAAAGAGCCATCCAGCCATAGATAGATAGAATAGATAGATAGATATGATTCATACACACACAGATTTGAAAGGGAGCCTTAAAGAAGGACAATGATATGTTGCATGTTCCAGGGGTGGGCAAACCAGACAGTCTCCACATCAACACTGACAAAGAAACAGCAAGAAATACTGTTTACCCACAAACATAAAAAAATTACATATATTAGAAACCAACACTTTTGCATTACTTTATTTTCCAGATCAACAGACTGGGCCACAGCAACGCGTGGCAGGGGACAGCTAGTAAATAAATAAATTATATCGGTAAGAGAAATTGAATAAAAAAGGAGAGCCTGGTCCTGGGAGGGGGCAGCACTTGATACACAAAAGGTAATACAATGGGGGGACAAATGGAAAGAAGATGCATATTTGAAGATAATTACAAAATAAAATCAACACAGACAGGTGAATCTGATCTTTACAGGGAATTAGCATTTGACAAAATCTGGAGAAAAGTGACAAAAAGAAAGAGGATGCGACTATAAGTAGTTTTTTTAAAAAAAAGCACAGGAAGAATGTGGCTAGGGAAAGCGATAAATTTTCCATAATGGAAAATTGTGGGGATGGGTGTGTTAAAAGCCTCCAAATGTATACTTTTGACATGGAGCAATGAATTCAAATGGCAGGGGGGAAATCCATCTAATCACTGGGAAGAACTTCCTGACAGTACAAGCTGTTTAGGAGTGGAATATGCTGCCTGGAAGTCTGGTGGAGTCTCCTTTTCTGGAGATTTTTAAGCAGAGGTTGGATGGCCATCTGTCGAGGGGGCTTTCACTGTGTCTTCTTGCCTGGCAGAATTGGGTTGTCTTCAACTCTAGGATTCTATGATTCAGTCACCTATCTATGGAGATTGTACTAGGTGACCCTTGGGGGTCTCCTCCAAATCTAATATTCTATGATAAAAAAGGTTCAATTTTAGTTTTTTAGTTCTTATATGAATATTGTAATGCATTATTTTAAATTTGTATTGTGCCATGTTTATCCTGAGCTGCTTTGAGACTCTATTTTAGTGGATATGAAGTAAATAATAATAATAAATTATCCAAATTAGATGGGGATGAAGCTGCATCCTAAAGATCTGCTCTTATTATGCATCTCATTGTTGCTTACTATCATTATGGCTGCTTATTACTACTATTATTATTGTTGCTTCTATTATTTATTTATTTACAACATTTATATGCCACCCTTCTCACCCCAAAGGGGATTTATTACTATCCTTCTTGTTATTACTACTACTACTATAGCTGCTCTTATTATGGTTATCATTTTTGCTCTTACTATTATTATTGTTGCTGCTCTTTTCTAATGTTACACCATTAAGCTATATCACTGGCATTGGAGAAGAACTGGCTGGTGATTGGCTGGAAGAGCACTTTTGTTTTCTTGATGTTCAATGACAGGCCGAGCTTCTCGTATGCTTCTGCAAAGGTGTTTAGAGTGGCTTGTAGTCTTCTGAATGCCCACAGACGACGTTGTCATCAGCATACTGGAGTTCTATAACAGATGTTGTAACCTTGGTTTTGGCTTTCAGTCTGCTGAGGTTAAACAGCTTGCCATCTGTCCAATAGATGATTTCCACTCCGGTGGGTAAAAGTTGTATGCCACCTGTGGTTGTCAGTGAGAAATCCACAGGCGAATCGCACGCTTTCATAGATATACAGGAAAGGTTTTCATGGGTATAATGATAATAATAATAATAATAATAATAAACCCTTTATACCCCGCTACCATCTCCCGAAGGACTCCGGTGCGGCTTACAAGAGGCCGAGCCCAAATACATCAGTAAAAGCAACAACAACAACAATAATAAACTCATAAACAAAGCAAAAAAACATTAACAATAACATTAAAACCTGGCAGGGCCAAGATGTTTTTTGTTGTATAATCCTGGGTTTTGTGTGCTTTCAGTCGTGCTGTAGGTTAAGACCGGCTATGCCATCCTTGTTCGATAGATGATTATCGCCTCTCGCGTGTTCGGTAACATCGAAACTACCTGTTTTTTCTATCATCTATCATTTATATTTATCTTACTAGCTGTCCCCTGCCACGCGTTGCTGTGGCCCAGTCTGTTGATCTGGAAAATAAAATAATGAGAAAGTGTTGGTTTCTAATATATGTAATGTCTTTCTGCTTGTGGGTAAACAGTATTTCTTGCTGTTTCTTTGTCAGTGTTGATGTGGAGAGTGTCTGGTTTGCCTACTCTGGAATATGCAACATATCATTGTCCTTCTTTAAGGGTCTCTTTCAAATCTATGATACTATACCTGTGTGTGTGTGAATCATATCTATCTACCTATATCTATGGCTGGATGGCTCTTTGTCAGGAGGGTTTTGATTAGATTTTCTTGCCTTGGTGAAGAGAGTTAGACTGGATGGGCTTAAGTATTTTCTGTTGCTCATGGGGGTTCTGTGTGGGAAGTTTGCCCCAATTCTGTCGTTGTGGGGTTCAGAATGCTCTTTGATTGTAGGTGAACTATAAATCCCAGTAACTACAACTCCCAAATGTCAAGGTCTATTTCCCCCAAACTCCATCTGTGTTCATATTTGGGCATACGGAATATTTGTGCCAAGTTTGGTCCAGATCCATCATTGTTTGAATCCACCCACAGTGCTCTCTGGATGTAGGTGAACTACAACTCCCAAACTCAAGGTCAATGCCCACCAAACCCTTCCAGTGTGTTCTGTTGGTCATGGAGGTCCTGGTTGAATTCCATCATTGGTGGAGTTCAGAATGCTCTTTGATTGTAGATGAACTATAAATCCCAGCAACTACAAGTCCCAAATGTCAAGGTCTATTTCCAAACTCCATCTGTGTTCATATTTGGGCATATGGAATATTCGTGCCAAGTTTGGTCCAGATTCATCATTGTTTGAGTCCACAGTGCTCTCTGGATGTAGGTGAACTACAACTCCTAAAGGTCAATGCCCACCAAACCCAGCATTTTTTGTTGGTCATGGGAGTTCTGTGTGCCACATTTGGTTCAATTCCATCATTGGTGTTTAGAGTACTCTTTGATTGTAGGTAAACTATAAATCCCAGCAACTACAACTCCCAAATGTCAATATTATATTCTCCCCAAACTCCACCAGTGTTCACATTTGGGCATATTGAGTATTGGTGCCAAGATTGCTCCCCCAAACTCTACCAGTGCTTAGGCATATTGAGTATTTGTTCCAAGTTTGGTCCAGATCTATCATTGTTTGAGTCCAATGCTCTATGGATGTAGGTGAACTACAACTCCAAAACTCAACGTCAATGCCCAATAAAGCCTTCCAGTGTGTTCTGTTGATCATGGGAGTTCTGTGTGCCAAGTTTGGTTCAATTCCATCACTGGTGGAGTTCAGAATGCTCTTTGATTATAGGTGAACTATAAATCCCAGCAACTACAACTCCCAAATGTCAAGGTCTATTTTCCCTAAACTCCACCAGTGTTCACATTTGGGCATATTGAGTATTGATGCCAAGTTTAGTCGAGATTAATCATTGTTTGAGTCCATAGTGCTCTCTGGATGTAGGTGAACTACAACACCAAAACTCAAGGTCAATGCCCACCAAACCCTTCCAGTATTTTCTGTTGGTCATGGGAGTCTTGTGTGCCAAGTTTGGTTCAATTCTATTGTTGGTGGAGTTCAGAATGCTCTTTGATTGTAGGTGAACTATAAATCCCAGCAACTACAACTCCCAAATGACAAAATCATTTTTTTGAGTGATGGTCACTCCTTGTGTTGTGAGACGTTTTGTTGCTAAATTTGGTGTGATTTCGTTCATTGGTTCTTTTGTTTTTAAGGTACTCATTATGCACAGAGCATTTATATATATATAATATTATGATAGCTGCTCTGATTGTTGCTATTCTTGTTATTACTCCTATTAGAGAAGCTCCTATCATTCTTATTCTTATACTACGACCACTATTAGAGATGTTCTCATTCCCCTCATTGGTGCTCTGATTACTACTATGATGATGCCTGCTGTCAGCCACTTCCCCCCTCAAAATGGGAAGCTCTATCATGGCCATTCTTCTTCTTCCTCTTCCTCCCTCAAAGAAAGAGCCCCTTCCCAAGGCCTCACCCATCTGCTCGCGAAGCCCCTTCAGCGACGACGAGGCCGCCCCGGCGCCGCTCCCGTCCGCCATGTTCGCCCTCGGCCTTCCTCCCGCCGCCTCACACACCCAGCGCGGGCGCGGAGCTGGTGCGATCTGAGCAACTGCCAAGCCGGGGGAACTGCGCATGCCCGGCCTAGACCAACCCTCCCTTTCGCGGGGCCGTCCTAAAACTCCCCTCTTTTCCTTTCCCAGTGGGCCCGTCCAATTGGAACCAGCCACGCGCACGCATGCGCAGAACTCCCCCGTCCTCGCCTCCAGCGCCGCCGGAAAGAAAAGTTCAGAGCTGAGCGTGCATTGGGAGCGCTAACACGCATGCGCAAAAGCGGAGCCTGTCCTAACACGCATGCGCAACCTCCAAGGTTGTCGAACGCTTCTACCGCTGAAGCTAGCTCCAGCTTCCCGCCGCTTCTGCGCATGCGCACAGGTTGCGCCTCCAAGGTTGGCGAACGCTTCTACCGCCGAAGCTCGCTCCCGTTCCCCGCCGCTTCTGCGCATGCGCACAGGTTGCGCCTCCAAGGTTGGCGAACGCTTCTACCGCCGAAGCTAGCTCCCGCTTCCCGCCGCTTCTGCGCATGCGTCGGGAAGCGGGATGCCTGCATCTCTACTCGCCCACCTCCTCCTCGCGCTGTTCTTTTAAGTTCCGAGTTCGATTCCCGCTCTCCTCATATTATTATTAATGGTAATATTATTAATATTATTCATGCTAATATAAGAATAATATAAAATAATAAAAATAAAAGACAGCAAAGCCTAGAGAAGACAATTATACTGGGGAAAGTAGAAGGTAAAAGGAAGAGGGCCGGCCCATCCTTGAAGTGACTGGACTGACCTTGAAGGAGCTGGGGGTGGTAACGGCCGACAGGGAGCTCTGGCGTGGGCTGGTCCATGAGGTCACGAAGAGTCGGAGACGACTGAACGAATGAACAACAACAACAACAACAAATAAAATATAAAAGCAAGGCGCTGGCTGCTGGAGCTGATGAACAACTGCACCATCCTGTCAGATCCCCAAAATCTGGAGGAAAGCAAGAGTCATCCCATCTTGAAGCCAGGCAAAGACCATAATGACCCAAAAAGCTGCAGACCAATCTCCCTGTTGTGCCACCTCTACAAAGTTCTGGAGAGACTTATTTTGCATAGAATTATGGAAAAATATGTCTGATTCCACAGCAAGCTGGCTTCAGAAAAGGCAAAAGCTGCACATCGCAAGTGTTGAACCTGACTCAGCACATAGAAGATGGCTTTGAAAGGCAGCAGATCACAGGCGCTGTCTTCATAGACCTCTCAGCAGCTTATGATACTGTGAACACCGCCTCCTCCTGAGAAAAATGTATAATATCACAAATAATACCACCTCACCTGCCTCATAGGAAACCTGCTACAAAACAGGAGCTTTTTTGTTGAGTTCCAGGGCCAGAGAAGCAGATGGCGGAAACAGAAGAACGGCCTGCCTCAGGGAGGCGTGCTTGCTCCATCCATGTTCAACATCTACACAAATGACCAGCCACTGCCAGAAGGGAGAGAGTTTCATCTATGCTGATGATCGTGCCATTACTGCTCAAGCAGGGAGCTTTGAGATGGTAGAACAGAAGCTCTCCGAAGCTCTAGGTGCTCTTACTGCCTATTACAGGGAAAACCAGCTGATCCCTAATCCATCTAAAACACAGACATGCGCCTTTCACCTTAAGAACAGACAAGCATCCTGAGCTCTGAGGATTACCTGGGAAGGAATCCCACTGGAGCATTGCAGCGCACCCAAATACCTGGGAGTCACTCTGGACCATGCTCTGACCTACAAGAAGCACTGCCTGAACATCAAGCAAAATGTGGGTGCCAGAAACAATATCATACGAAAGCTGACTGGCACAACCTGGGGATCACAACCAGATACAGTGAAGACATCTGCCTTGCGCTATGCTACTCTGCTGCTGAGTATGCATGCCCAGTGTGGAACACATCTCACCACCTAAAACAGTGGATGTGGCTCTTAATGAGACATGCCGCATTATCACGGGGTGTCTGCGCCCTACACCACTGGAGAAATTACACTGCTTAGCCGGTATTGCACCACCTGACATCCGCCGGGAAGTAGCAGGCAATAGTGAAAGGACCAAGGCAGAGACATCTCCAGCTCATCCCCTGTTTGGGTATCAGCCAGCACGTCAACGACTTAAATCTAAGAAATAGTTTTCTAAGATCTACAGAGACACTCGCTGGAACACCTCAGCAAGCGAAAGTCCAAAAGTGGCAGGCTCAAACCCAGAACCTCAATCAATGGTTGATACCAAATGAGAGACTCCCTCCTGGGCACACAGAAGACTGGGCGACTGGAAGGCACTGAACAGACTTCGCTCTGGCACCACGAGATGCAGAGCCAACCTTAAGAAATGGGCCACAAAGTGGAATCCACGACATGCGAGTGTGGAGAAGAGCAAACCACTGACCACCTGCTGCAATGCAACCTGAGCCCTGCCACATGCACAATGGAGGACCTTCTTGCAGCAACACCAGAAGCGCTCCAAGTGGCCAGATACTGGTCAAAGGACATTTAATCAACTACCAAACTCACAAATTTTGTATTTTGTCTGTTTGTTTGCTTTGTTCTGTTAGAAATGTAATATAATCTGACTGGTTGTCCTGACACGACAAATAAATAAATAATACTGCATGGTAATACTACCATCCTTGCAGCTATAAATCTCCCCCATGCAATCCTGTGACAAAGCCTTTAAATGGTGCTGTGCTACATCTGCATTTGTCACCTTGCATCGGGTGTCCTTGGCACCTAGACACCAGGAGATCTGTTTTTTCCCCATAGAAGGCAATATAATTCGGTGCATCCAGGCGGACAAAGGCGCTTCTCTTCATCTGGCGAACAAAGCCGAACACTGGAGCCTTGTAGCGACGATGACAACCACGTGCCGCCTTTTGGAGAAGCCGGGACAGAAGAGCCACAGAGAGACCCCCATATCCTACTTTCCTTCAGCTGTGCCTGAGGACAAGGCAGCATCTGTGACAAGGCAAGCGCCACTGAATTGTGCGTTGAAGCCTCAATCTGCTCCAAGGTCAGCCCCAAGTGATGCAAAGGACCATCCCTTCCTACAAACCCATCCATGTATGGCAGTGTTTCTCAACCTTCCTAACGCCGCGACCCCTTAACACAATTCCTCATGTTGTGGTGACCCCCAACCCTAAAATTATTTCGTTGCTACTTCATTACTGGAATTTTGCTACTGTTACGAATCGTCATGTAAATATCTGATAGGCAGGATGTATTTTCATTCTCTGGATCTTGGGAGTTGTAGTTGCTGGGATTTATAGTTCACCTACAATCAAAGAACATTCTGAACTCCACCAGAGATGGAATTGACCCAAACTTGGCACACAGAACACCCATGACCAGCAAAAAATAATGAAAGGGTTAGGTGAGCATTGGCCTTGAGTTTGGGAGTTGTAGTTCACCTATCTCCAGAAAGCACTGTGGACTCAAACAATGATAGATCTGGACTAAACTTGGCACGAATACTCAATATGCCCAAATGTGAACACTGTGGAGTTTGGGGAAAATAGACCTTGACATTTGGGAGTTGTAGTTGCTGGGATTTATAGTTCACCTACAATCAAAGAGCATTCTGAACTCCACCAGAGATGGAATTGACCCAAACTTGGCACACAGAATGCCCATGACCAGCAAAAAATAATGAAAGGGTTAGGTGAGCATTGGCTTTGAGTTTGGGAGTTGTAGTTCACCTATCTCCAGAAAGCACTGTAGACTCAAATTTTTATTATTATTATTATTATTTACAGCTTTTATATTCCACCCTTCTCACCCCGCAGGGGACTCAGGGCGGATTACAGTGTACACATATATGGCAAACATTCAATGCCAATTTTTGACATACAAACATATACAGACATACACAGAGGCTATTTAACTTTTTCTGGCCGCCAGGGGAGCTGTCGCTTTCATCGTCCATCTGCAATGCTGATGAAGCACTTCCGCATTCCCCGCATGCTTCCCCGCTGGAATGCTTTGCTGGAGTCTTCTTTATGGCCTCATAAATCAGTTAATTTAGCCTCCCCACACTTTAAGGTGGTACCTAATTTTCCTACTTGACAGATGCAACTGTCTTTCGGGTTGCAAAGGTCGACAACAGGCTACACAATTGGTTGGAAACCCACTCCAACCCGGGCTAGCTTCGAACTCATGACCTTTTGGTCAGAGTGATCTTAATGCAGCTGACACTCAACCAGCTGCGCCACAATCCCGGTGCAATGATACATCTGGACTAAACTTGGCACGAATACTCAATATGCCCAAATGTGAACACTGTTGGAATTTGGGAAAAATAGACCTTGACATTTGGGAGTTGTCGTTGCTGGGATTTATAGTTCACCTACAATCAGAGAGCATTCTGAACCCCACCAATGATAGAATTGGGCAGACTTCCCACACAGAACTCCCATGACCAGCAAAAAATACTATGTATCCTGATGGTCTTTGGTGACCCCTCCGACACCCCATTGCGACCCGACCCCCAGGTTGAGAAACACTGATCTATGGGGAGGGAGGTACGTTGCTCTGTTTGGCCATCTTCATGAGAACCTCTGATTGGAACATGGATAGGAAAGGTCTTGAATGCATACCATAATAACAAAAACAATAGTGGTTTTTGACAGTGATGAAGAATATGGCAGCCCTCCATATCCACAGGTTTTTGTGCCCATGGATTCCACTATCCACAGCTTGAAAATATTCCACAAAACAATGGATTCCGCTATGGTTTGTGCATTTAGGCTGACCTTGGCACTACTCTTTTTTTTGTGGATTTTGTTTTGTGTTTGGCTGTGTTTTTTGGCTCAAAACAAATATATGCCGATGTGCGGAGACTTGACCAAATCTTGGGAGGAAGTCATTGACCATGACCACAGGAGGCGGTGAAGAACGGAAATGAGTCATGGAGTTCGCTTCCAACGGAAGCCCATTGAATAAATGAGAAGGAGGATGGGGAAGGAAAAGAGGTAGAACTGAGAAAGCGAAAGCTTCCGATAACAGAAAAAACCAACCTGAGTCTCTGAAAAAAGGCCAAATTGGAGAGAAGAAAATGAACATCATGCCATACTGAAACTATCCATGAATG